CCTTCAATACTACCAATTCCACACCATCTCCCTTTATGGTGGTTTTTTGATAGAACACGTGCTTATTTATTATGATTGTTGCACACCAAAAAAGGAATTATTTGACACCTAACTCCTACCACTGCATTCAAATGTTTCAATATTGAACGTTTCCAAATTTTGCCACGTGGAAAATCAACGAGGAAGGGAAGAATGGGGTAACTAATAATTGGAATGGTGTGTGATAAGAATATAAGGAAAACTAATGAAAAAAGCTTGAAAACTTTGAGTTTTAATGATAAGGACAAAATAAAGGGTAAAATAAATAGTACCGGTTTGACTTTTTAGTGTAAAAATATGGTTTTTCGTTAAAGTTAACAATACCGCGGGCTTTTCGTTAAAACTTCAAAGAATATATTCAATACTCTTCCCTTAAGATAGTTTGTCATAAATTCTCCATTGCTTCATATAAATATATTGTTGTATCAAATTAAACTTTTTTTTCATGAACAAGTAATTGAAAGAAAACATAATTAAAAAGATGATGGTCAAAAACAGTTTACCTCCCCATCTTTGTTTGGGTCTGGACTTAGTTGAATATCAGAAAGATCATTGGTGCCTTCCTCCATGAACGTGCATGAGATGAACGTTAACCCAAATCAAAGATTAAGCTCAGTCGTGTTGAATGAGTTTAATTACTTGCCTTGGTCGAGAGCTGTGTCCTTGGCGGTAGGTGGAAGGTCCAAGCTGCGGTTCATAAATGGAAGCATCGAAGTACCTGATGCTTCCTCACTAAACTATGAATCCTAGCTTAGCAAGGATCAGCTGTTTACGTCATGGCTCTTGAATTCCATGGAATGTAAATTAGCTGAAATATTCAGCTACTCAGAATCCTCGTACCAGCTATGGGAAGCGGTCAAGGAAATGTATGGCAGCCAAAACAATGCTACACGGGTCTTCCAATTAAAGAATGACATCTCCGATCTGCATCAAGATGGCAAACCGTTTGTGCAACTCCTAGGAAGCATGAAAAGCATGTGGAATGAGTTGGAAATCTATCGCCCTCATACAATCGACGCAGCACTGCTACGAAAGAGAGCAGAAGAAACAAGATATTTCAACTTTTGTCCAGTCTTGATTCAACGTATGAAGACCTTCGATGTCACATACTCATGAACGCTGAGATTCCTTCCTTCACCAGTGTGTGTGCAACGATTCAACGGGAAGAAGTAAGGAGGAAAGTCATGAACATGGGTACAACGACTAGTGTACCTGAGGCTAGGGCATATATAACCAACGAAAAGAGATACAAAGGAAAGCATCCGAACTTGAAGTGTCAACACTGCATGACAATTGTGACGATCAAGATGATGTGAACGAGTGTGAAACAACTTTTCCAGCTCATCGACGCAATCCAATGCGTGTTAGAAAAACTCCCACAAGACTTCAGGATTTTGTCATGTACAAACCCACACATCCCATCTCCAATTGTGTGTCATACAAGAGAGTGACACCGAATCATGCTGCATTCCTAAGCACTATATCCAGTTACCAGGAGCCTCAAAATTTCCACGAGGCCAACAACCAAGAGGTGTGGAAAGAGGCAATGCAAGAAGAACTTAAAGCTCTAGATCAACACAATACCTGGAAAATCACCAAACTTCCAACATGCAAGAAAGTAGTGGGTTGCAAATGGATTTATAAACTCAAATTCAAGTCAGATGGTTCAATTGAGAGAGATAAAGCAAGACTGGTGGCTCGGGGATTCACTCAAACATTCGAGGTGGATTACAAAGAAACATTTGCACCTGTGGCCAAAATGAACACAGTAAGAGTGCTATTATCTGTAGCTGTAAACAAAGGATGGTCCATGTACCAAATGGACGTGAAGAACGCAATCTTGCACAGTGATCTCAAAGAATAAGTCTATATGAAATTGCCACCAGGGCATCCACAAAGCAATGAACCGAATGTGGTGTGCAGATTGCACAAAGCCATTTATGGCCTGAAGAAGTCCCCACGAGCTTGGTATGCCAAGCTAAGCTCAGTTCTCACTAGTGTTGGGTTTAAAAGCAGCAACGCCGATTCCTCACTATTTGTTCGCACAGGAGCTGTGGGCACATTGGTTGTGCTGATTTATGTTGATGATCTGATAATTACGGGTGATAATACTGACGAGATCTCCACTCTCAAACAGTCTCTCAAACAAAGATTTGCAATCAAAGACCTTGGGATATTGAAGTACTTTCTTGGTATAGAAGTGGCAACCTCACACAATGGACTGTTTCTTAACCAAAGAAAGTATGTCTTGGATTTGCTCAAGGATGCTAACATGAGTGATGCTAAACCAGCCACCATTCCTCTTGACAGTAAGCAAAAACCTAGCTTGAAGGGCAAGCCACTCACTGATATCACCCATTATCAGCGATTGGTTGGAAAATTGATCTACCTAACAATCACTAGACCAGACATCACCTATTTTGTAAGTCTTGTGAGCCAATTCATGCACTCCCCGACTCTTGAACATTTGACTCTGGTTAAACGGATCTTACGCTACTTAAAAGGTTCAGTGGGTCGTGGTATCATTATACGGAAGAATGACAACACCCCCAAGTCGTAGGGTATTGTGATGCTGATTGGGTAGGCAACGCAATCGATCGTAAGTCCACCTCCGGCTACTATACATTTGTCGGTGGAAACTTGGTCACCTGGAAAAGTAAAAAGCAAACTGTTATCGCCAGATCCAGTGCCGAAGCTGAGTACCGTGCAATGGCTTCCACTGCGTGTGAGTTGATCTAGCTCAAGGGTCTTCTGTGTGATTTAGGGTTTCCTGCAACTCTTCATATGTCTTTATTCTGTGACAATTAGGCAGCCATGCATATAGCATCTAACCCCATGTTTCACGAGAGAACGAAACACATTGAGGTTGACTGTCATTTCGTTCGGGAACATGTGCAATCGTAGGTAATTCAGACACGGTATACACGAAGCTTCGACCAACTGGCCGACATTTTCACCAAGCCCTTGGCTTCTCATCAATTTCAACGGCTTCTGTCCAAGCTTGGATCCATAAACCTTATGGATCCAGCTTGAGGGGGAGTATTGGAAGTCGGTTCGGTTGTCAACATCCCTTAATTCAAGGGGATGTTATTTATCTTTCCTAAGTTAGACAACTTTCTTAATTCAAGGGTGTCAACATCCTTTAATTCAAGGGGATGTTATTTATCTTTCCTAAGTTAGACAACTTCCTTAATTCAAGGGTGTCAACATCCCTTAATTCAAGGGGCTATTATTTATTTTTTTCCTAAGCCTAGCGTATGCTCCATGTATTGTGTTGATCTAGAGCTTTAAGTTCTTCTTGCATTGCCTCTTTCCACACCTCTTGGCTGTTGGCCTCGTGGAAATTCTGAGGCTCCTGGTAACTGGATATAGTTATTAGGAATGCAGCATGATTCGGTGTCACTCTCTTGTATGACACACAATTGGAGATGGGATATGTGGGTTTGTACATGACAAAATCCTGAAGTCTTGTGGGAGTTTTTCTAACACGCATTGGATTGCGTCGAGGAGCTGGAAGAGTTGTTTCACACTCGTTCACATCATCTTGATTGTCACAATTGTCATGCAGTGTATCCTCAGAGTGAGGCCCTTCATTGCTATCTTCATTGAGAGAAGCATCAACGTTGACATGACTGAGCTCTCGTTGTTGTGGTCCCTCCAGTTCAATTATTGGTAGTGGGAACACATCCAAGATGCCATCCCCTTGGGCTGTGATTTCACTTGACTTGCTGAAAAAGGGGTTAGTTTCATGAAATCACACATATTTGGACACAATGAATCTCCTTAGTTGGGGATTATAACGCATGGTACTTCCTTAGCTTGTAGGCGATATGAACACGATACCAAGGTAAACCCATGGAAATACCCATTTATCAATGAAAAATAAACACAACGTAACTTTATTGCATTGGAAAAAACTATGATGCATCGGAAGACTCAAAGAAGGCTTGGTCTTCATTGTCTTCGAATTTTAACTGCAACTGTACCTGGGCTACCTGTGATTGTAAATTATGGACCCTAAATATTGGTTGTGTTCAATTTTGGGTGCATTTTTGCTCATCGTCCTAACTATGGTGTATCTCACCATACACCTAACCATTTGCATATCTCCTTTCACTTAACTCTAGTTAACTTTCACATTAGATTTTACTTTTTCAATTTTGAAAAAGGTTAAGCAAGGTTAAGTGAAAAGACACGTGTCAGATGATTAGGTGTATAATGAGCATACACCAAAATTTAGGGTGGTGAGCAAAAATGTACCCACTCAACAATGTGGGGTGCTAATAAAAAAAAAGCCTCTAAATCCAATTGAAAAAGAAACTAATGCAGGTGAGTGTGTTTTATGTAAATAGTTTGTACATATTTGGCCAAAAACAAACCTAATGATATCTTATACACGTTTTATGAGATTAGAATTGCACCCAAACTTGAGAGTACAAAATATAATTTACCCTATATAATATTATATGTTGAAAAAGTTATACTCTAGCAACTTTACCATGCGGCAGTCCCCAGTTGTGTGATGCCCAATATCCGGATTTCTTGTAGAGAGAGTGATAAGCCGGCCTTACCACAAGCAGTTCATGTGAAGACCTACTGCAGGCTATTTCGACAAGAACCCGATTGCTTTTGGTCTACTTCTTGGTTGCTTTTGTCTATGACTTTACATCTGTCGACATACATATATATAGAAATAGTAATATAAAGTGTGGTCATTGCATTCTCATCTTAGCCAGTCATTTTCCCTATGCATGAAAACCAATTCTTTGTTTTATTAACTTCTGTTTCTTCCTCACAAGCATAAACACAATTTTAACTGAAAAACATTAAGCGTTCTGCATACAGTGAATAGAACCCTAACAAACTAGTGCAAAAAAATAAATTACAATACAGGAAACATCTACGAAGAATCTTTCTTCTAAAAGGAAGACTCAAAATTTATTTATTAGAAACAAACACACTTTGCTTCTCAGGCCGTCAAAGGATCTAGAGAAAACAATTCACCGCAGGTTATCATACGTATTGGCTTCGACAAATGCAACTTCTGAGTTGAGAGGAGTTGAGTAACTTGTCTCATTGTAGGACGAGAATGCGGACTAGGATTCAAGCATGAAAACACAATCTTCATAAGAGAGAGTACTTCCCCTGCTTCTTGATGTGTTGGAGGCAAAATGCGTTGGTCCAGAACATCCACAACTGACATTTGATGGGGTGGTAATGTTGATACCGATGAAGATGTGGAAGAAGAAGGCATTGATAAGAATGATGAGAAAAAATCACCAGGATGCCTTCCCATGATTGTTTCCATAGCAACCACTCCAAAGCTATAAACATCGCATTTTTCATTCACTTCCATGGTGTATGCAAGTTCTGTTCAGAATAAGACCATAGCAATATTGGGACTATTAGTTTGTATATATAATACCTAAACCGAAGATAAAGAGTGAAAAATTTGAACAAAACTAATTTACAACTAACTTTTAACAAAAACTAGATGACAATAGAGGTGGCAAAGTGGACCCAAATTGTTAACCCGACTCAATTTGCTCACAAAATTTTAATTAATGGGGAAAGACTTAACAAGCTCAATTAAAAATACAGTTGGTTTCGAGTAATCCTAAAAAACCCATAATCATAAATCACCCATTACGAGGGTTAGGTTTCGTTTTGGCTTAATTTCGATTTTCAACTATAATTGAATTATGGGTTTTAGGGATTTCTTATTAGTGTGGTGATTTTTCTTCAGAATTTGAGAATTTTACTTATTAGTGTGGTGGTTTTAGGGTTTTCTTATTACTGCGGACTATTAGCTTGCTAAAAGTTGCTGATATTAGAATAAAATTTTCATTTTGCCTTTCAACTTCATGTAGAAGTAGAAATACTGTGAAGCAGTTGAAGAATGTTGGTGGTACCTTGTCATCATTCAAATCCAATTAATCAGACTTTCGGTCAAACTAAACTTTTGAGGTAATATTAATGTTTATTGTTGATGTTTTTGTACTTTTTGTATGCATAATATATTGTATGTTGGTATATGATCGGAGGAATACAAGATATGGGCTCTCTTCGATATGTTTATTCTTGATATGCAGGATTTCTATAAACGTTACAAAAAGGGCTCAATTTTAAGTACAAAACCAGTATTTAGTATTGGTGCTAGATTGATCGATCAATATCGTAGTTGTTTAATGCCTGAAACCGTTCAAGCATTATTATGTATTAGAGATTGGCTTTTTGGCAAAAGAGGTAGATCTTACATGGTATTTGTATTCTTAATGCAGTTTCCATGTTTACTGCACGTTGTTTTAATTATTTAGTTTTTAGTAATTCATTAACATCTCGATTGGTATTACTTATTAAATTAGTTGCTTACTATAGTTTGCATGTTTATAGTTGGTTTTTTTTTTTTTCCAGATCATTTTTATGTTTTAGTTTTAAGGAAAGAGAGTGCTAACTTGGAAGAATATACAATAAACCTAAGTATCGCCTATACTATATGTGAATGTTCTCTTCAAAATCAAAGTATGTAACGTGGTATGTTTAATCCGTCCTAATGTTGAAAAGAAATAAATTTGGCCAAAAAATTAATCATAAACAACACTCAATTAATAAGGTTAAAAGGAAAAAAAACATATTACCTGGTGCGACATACCCATATGTGCCTGCAACGGCAGTCCAAGTTGTTGAGCCTGGATTCAAAAACTTAGCAGTCCCAAAGTCAGAAACAGAGGCCTCATAGTTAGAATCCAACAAAATATTCTTGGTTGATATGTCCCGGTGCACAATTGGTAGCACACAATCGTGGTGCATGTATGCCAAGGCATGAGCTACACCTTTAACAATATTAACCCTTTGTCTGCACCCTACTTCTTTAGCTTCTTCATCTTTGCTCAAAATTGTAGCCAAGCTACCTCTTTCAACAAACTCGTACACCAAAAACGAGTGTCGATGGTGTGAACAAAAACCATAAAGCTTCACAATATTCCGGTGTCTTATCTCTGTTAGTGCCCTTATTTCATTCAAGAATGTCGTCTCCAAATTCTTCTCGCCATCCCACAATTGATGTAGTTTTTTCACAGCCACTATGTTGTCACTTGACAAATTTGCTCTGTAGACGCTTCCTTGTCCCCCGCTCCCAATGCAATATGTGGAATCAAAATTTTCTGTTGCCCTTATGACTTCCTCATACATTGACTTTCCATCAAAATTTAAAACTGAAAACGATATTTCTTCATGCAAGTTTTTTTCTGCTTTTTTTGGATGTTTCTTCTTTCTTTGCACTACGAATTTAATTGTAAAGAAAGCAGAAAGAAGTAAAATTGCTGCTATAAGGGAGAATGTGATTCCAAATACCCATTTGTGGTCCTTTCTTGGGCCAATTGTGCAAGAATGCAAACCTTCAACGTTGCCGCACAGTCCTTTGTTCCCTTGTAAAGCTTTTGGCAGAGCTTGTTGAAATGCTCTGTTGTTGGGGAGGGGACCTTCCAATTCATTGTAAGATACATCCACATATAACAAGCCGTGCATGCCTTCAAAACTTGATGGTATGAAACCAGAAAGATTGTTGTGAGAAAGATTGAGTGTCTGTAAACTCTCCATATTGCTGATTTCAGGTGGTATGCTACCTTCAAGTGAGTTGTGACTTAAATCAAGTTCGTTCAATTGAACTAACTTTTCCAACTTCAATGGAATTCCTTGGGAAAATTGATTGTTGCTCATATTCAGATGGTACAGTTTGAGAAAGTTGCCTAATGTGCTCGGAATAGAGCCATTTAATTTGTTTGATGACAAGTCAAGATATTCAAGATCAACGAGTAATCCAAATTCCGAAGGTATACAGCCTGAAAGTTGATTTCCATTCAACATCAACTTTTGCAAAGCAGTCATTCTCCCGAACCCTTTTGGAATGGCCCCAACTAAGTGATTTGAAGAAAGGTCGAGTTTATGGATTTTGTCAGCATTGACAATCTCGGGAGGTATGCTACCAATAAGGTTGTTTCCCACAATTAGTAAGGTTTCTAATTGTGCGCATTGTCCCCATTTTTGTGAAATTTCACCATATAACTTATTGTGACTCATATCTATGAAAACAAGATTTGGATAAACACCAAAGTCTTTTGATATATTGCCTGTGAATTGGTTCCCATCAAGACGAACTCTAACTAAGCTCTTGCATGTTTTCAAGCTTTTGGGGATTCAGGACCGTTTGTGAGTGACCAAAGCTGATTCTCAGACAATTCTAGGTCCATAAGAGTCCTGCCTATTCCTGAAGTAAGGTTTTTGAAGTTGGAATTCCCTAAGCTGATTCTGCCAGAAGAGATTTATTTATCTCACCCAGAAAGAGAGCTATGAGGTTTGTGAGATCACCGAGGGATGTTGGGATTGAACCGCTGAGCTGGTTATGAGACAATTCTAGGTCCACAAGAGATTTCAATTTCCCTATCTCTTTAGGAATAGTGCCAGAAAAATTATTATGGTGTAGATGGAGAGTGATAAGGTTTATGAGCTGACCTAGGGATGATGGGATTGAACCGCTGAGCTTATTCTTAGACAAAAGGAGGTCCACAAGAGATTTCAATTTCCCCATCTCTTTAGGAATGGTGCCAGAAAGATTATTACTGTAGAGATATAGAATGGTCAGGTTTGTGAGATCACCGAGGGATGTTGGAATTGAACCGCTGAGCTGGTTCTCAGACAAGTCTAGGTCCACAAGAGATTTCAATTTCCCTATCTCTTTTGGAATAGTGCCAGAAAGATTATTACTTTTGAGATAGAGAGTTGTAAGGTTTGTGAGATCACCAAGGGATGTTGAGATTGAACCGCTTAGCTGATTCTCAGACAATTCTAGGACCACAAGAGATTTCAATTTCCCCATCTTTTTAGGAATGGTGCCAGAAAGATTATTACTTTGGATATAGAGAATGGTAAGATTTGTGAGATCACCGAGGGATGCTGGGATTGAACCATTAAGCCAATTGTTAGAAAGATCAAGAGAGATGAGTTTGGAGAGGGAACTGATCTGAGCTGGAATGACATCAAAGAGATTATTATAGCTGAGATCGAGGTATTGAAGATTGGGGAAAGACAAGAATGAAAAATCATGTAGCGTACCTTGTATACCGTAATTGGTAAGGTTTATCACATCGACACTTCCAACAGCATTGCATGAAATACCAGTCCAAAAGCATGGGACTACTTTTGTATGAGTGGGTAGGTAAGCCCACGAGGTGAGATTTTGCAGGTGGGTATGGTTTTGAAAGGTGGCTTTCCATTTGAGAAGTGCTTCTGCTTCAGTAGTAGAAGTAGCAAAAGCAAAAACAACACAATTTGGCGGTGAAAGAAGTTGTACGAATAAGACAAGGCAACAAGCCAGAGGGCATAGTTTATGAAAATCTACAGATGTCATGGCCACTAGTGTTTAATTTCGTGTACGTATTACAATCTACTCCTAGGGCTTATTTATAATGGCATCCATGAACTATTGTAGTTAAGTCAATTCAACCCGCACCGAAAAAGATGAGTCAAAGTCTTTGTCCCCAAATGCATGTAATTGTTTTATGGGGCCCACCCCACTCCTTCTAACGGTTGTTTTCTATAATATACAATGTACTTAGTCCCAAATGTGTGTAATTGTCAATCTTCTTCTCAAATATCATTATCTCAGCCCTGCCCTCCAGTTCACATCTCATTTTTTTCTATTTTTTTTTTCTTCCCATTAAAGTTATTTCGTTTGGTGTCATGAGTTCAAACTTATCAAATAAAAGAAAATTTGGAAAATGTTAGTGGACTTTATGTTTTATCTCTTTGGGGCAATCATTTAAAGATTATTAAGAATCCGTTGTAACATGTACTGGGTAATGATATTTATCTCTTTATTTATAAGTAAAATGTATATGTTCAACATTTACAAGCATTAATAATTTTGAAAACTTAATTATGGCTAGTTTGGAGTTGCTTAAATTTTTTAAAAGCTGCTTTCTTAAAAAAATTGGATCCTTAATTGTGTTTGGTAAATAAAAAAAGTTTTTTTTTCTTCCTAAATCATAGGTTTAAAACAGCTGAAAACAAAAGCAACTTTACACATGCTTCTCAAAAAAGCGTTTTTATTCAAAAGAGCCAGGTGAACAATACTAATTAATGAAACTTTTATATTGACAATCCTACCCCATCTTTTTTTTTTGCTAAAAGCACTTTTAGCACTATAGTTTACCATTACACTTACCTGTTTTTTTCCCAGCAGTTTGTTCTCATGGCACAACAAAGCAATTTTGAAAAAAAATAAAATAAAAAACACAGCAACCCCAGACTATCCCCAAGTCTACCTCCACGATTGTGTTGTATAAAAAAAATTTAGGTTTTAACTCAAAAATAACATTTACCCTCTAATAGTTTTGGCTAAAAATTTTAGGCCGAGATTATTAAAGAATAATTTTAGCCTAATTTTTTGTCAATTAATTTTTTTTAAAGTAAAATTTATGTAAATTATCTTGATTTATTTTTGTGAACATTTTAACTTAAAAAGATAAGGATTAAAACTTTGAAACTTGAAATATTTCTATATAGTATGCTTCAATCTTACAACAATTACTAATACAAACAATAATTAAAACACTAAATAAAGATTAATAAACAATAAGTAAAATACTACATAAGAATTACAACAATTACTAATATTAATAATATTCATCTACATTTGGTTGAATTGGTCCTTGTAATTTCCGCTTGCTTGTCCCGGAATAATTTCTTCCTATTTGAAGTGTATATGTTGGGATCCTCCCTCATTACATCAAAATCGAATGTCATCTTGTAAGGGTCCTCCTTCTAATATGATCTTTTGCTATCTTGAAAATTTTGGAAGTCGGTAAAAAAAAATGGAAGAATTGTATGAGGAAAGTGAATTTTGGGTGGATGTTTGAACAAATACATGTAATTATGGAGTTTTTAGGTGAATTTTGATTTAAATAATTTCTTTTAAATGTTTTAACCGTTGAATTTAATTTTAGACCGTTAGACCTTTTTTACCGTTAATTTAATATAAGAATTCAACTGTTCGATTTAATTTAATTATAAATTTGATTTAAAAAAATTTAAATATGGATCGTTGGATCAACCAGTAGCCCATCATTTCTAATCGTTGGTGTGGATGCAAATTTCTTCCTCCTTGATCTTGGACAATTTTGCACCTACAAAACAATTAACACCTTAGGTTAAGGCCAAAAGCCTCACGCGCCCACGATGAATGGGGGGGGGGCTTTGGCCGAAGAACCTCTGATGCCAAATTTAGAATTTAGAGAGAAAGAGTGTTTAGAGAAATTTGGGATTTTTGCCAAAGTGTTGGAATTGGCTTTTTTAGTGAGAATGAGAGTATATTTATAGGGATAGGAGGTAGCTAGGGTTTTTTGGGTTTAATTTAGGTTTAATTAGGAGTTACAAAATTGATTATTTGTATAAATGGGGTAATAAAATAGAGAAAAGTGAAAAAGGTTAGGAAAAGGGAGGTGGATTAGGTTTTAGCCGGCCATGTGGTGTTTTTGGGTTGAATTGGATGTGTTTTGTGGTTATTTGGATATAATGGATGGTTTATTTGACAATTAATGGGTTAATTAGGCAATAAACCCATTAATTAGCCAATTAACATAATTTAAAAGGAATGTGTTTGGGAATTACCTTGTAGAAAGGATTTGATGAGATGGACTTTGAATTGTTACTTATTTTGGGCACTTCTGTCTTGGTTGAAAGAGGGTTGCCCGCAGCTTGCACGTAAGAACCTCGTTGTACTGCAAGGGTATTTTTGTCTTTTTTGTCCAAAAATCCACGTGTCGCCTTGAGAATATTTTTGGCTCCACAGTTGGATCACAAAAAGAGCAGTTATGCTATTGGGTAGTTGCTGGGATCCAAGAGTTGATGACTTGTATACTTCTGGCACATTGCCTACAACTGGGCACTTCTTAGGTGCGTTCAACATTGGAGCTGGGGCCCCCACCATCCTTGGCTCATTTTTTTGGGAGGGGAGGTGAGAATTTGGCCCAATAACTTGGACGACTTTGGAGTCTTTCATAAATACAATTTGCCATTTTGATCAAAGTCCAAGTCAATTTTAGAGTAGCAAGTGACTTTCTACCATAGTGGTGGAAATGAATGTTGCCCTTACACTACAGAGTAAGTTTGAACTCCGTCAGCTTCCTAATATATCAAATCTATCGTTTAAAAAAAAAATGAAAAAAAAGTCGATTTTAGAGTCTTCCATCAATACAATTTGGCACTTTGGCCAAAGTCCAAGTCAAGGGCCATAAATGCAATTTGGCAATTTATTTCAAATTTTTTCTTCAAAGACCAAGAATTTGATGATGCTTAATTGATACTTCCAGTTTTGTTTTTAGAATTCTCCTTTATTTCATATGACTGTGACAAAGTCATATTCGAAGAAGAAATTCAAACTTTTACATAACTTTTATTGTTTTTGCTAGTCACAAATAAATATGCACAAATAAAACTGCAATATTTTACTCAAAACCTAAATTAAAAAGACAGTAGCAGTTTAGTGAAAGATAGATTAATTTCTAAGGGCAACTAAAAGTTTGAGTGGCTTAAAATTGACTAGAAAAGGGAATGTTGTGAATCATGAACAATTTACACATGCTTGTACGTTGAAAAACCATGTATCTATACAAATAAACTTATGTATTGACTTAGGACTTGGGAGCATCCATGCCTGTGATCGTTCCATGTTATTTGATTTGGCGCTTTTAACATTTTCTGCTGTGTATTAGAGAAATCATGGAAATCCGAAATCTTTATCTCTGGCCTTGATTTTGTATATAGGAATGCAAATGTGAAATTGTACGTTGGTTTTCATGTGGCAAGTGCTCTAATTATTTTTATTTTTTTATGTAGAAAAAACACAATTTTTGTGTTATTTGTGTTCATTTTAAAAGTTGGATTGAGGTTATGGGATCTTTATTCTCTTTTTGTATTGTCACCAGCTAGTACAGTGCACCACTTTGTTTTGTGGAGCCCACTGCACTCCTATTAGATTTGGATTCCGTCTAGATTCAAATTGTGAGGATTTTAGGGATCCTCACATCTTAACTTTTCATCGTGAATCATACGGTCATAAATTATTTGATTTTTTATTTAAAATTAAACACAAATAGTACTTGACGAAAATTGACCACATGATGTACGATGAATGACTAGGATGTGGGGATCTCTATGATCCCCATACAGTGGAGCCGAAGAGGATCCTCTTCCACTCCTTGTAACGGTTGTCCCAATTGTGTGTAATTGTCAATCTTTCTTCTTCTCAAATATCACTATCTTAACCCTCCCCTCTTCTTCATATCTCATTTATTTTTATGTTCAAATTTATCAAATAATCTAAAGAATAAGTTGTAAGTTGTAATGCTGGTGAACTTTATGTTTTTTCTCTTTGGGGAAATCATCTAAAGATTATTAAGAACCAGTTGTAAGTTGTAACACATACTGCATAGTGATATTTATCTTTTTATTTATAAATAAAAGGTATTTGTTGTGGTCTATTTATCTAACAAGGAGAGAGAGGGCCGGCGGCAAGGAGAAGAAGAATAGAGAGATGTGTTTGTAGAATTGTAGGAGAATGTGTGTTGTTATCCCTCGTACATTATGCCTTTATTTATAGTAATATAAGGAGAGAAGATATTCCTTCATCCCCAAGGAATACAAGATACAATAGGAAAGGATAACTAGAATCAAATCTAATCTAGGATTTACACAATCACACTTAAACTAGGAATGTTTACAACACTCCCCCTTGAGTGTGTAAATACTCAAGGTAGATTTAGCATAATGCAGAAGTTGAGGAAGTTGACTCATTGGCACTGATTCTAAGGAACAATGCTTATTCTTAATAAGGTAGGAACTTGCATAAGTAGTAAGTCTCACTAAAAAAAACCCTAAGGCTATGACAAAAACTTGAGGAGGGACAAAATCCATAGTCTAAGGAAAAATGCGTGAGAAATGCAAAAGTCAAAGAAAAGTCTACGGGACGTCATCAGGGATATGACCAGCCCAAAATGGGTGCCTCGTTAAAACCTAGTTAGGTAGCAAAAACCCAGTGGGAAAAATGCTCCTAATCGTAGGGAAAAAGAGTACATTAAGATCAAGCAAGTATCTACAGGATAATCCCCTTGAGTTTGACATAATTCCAAAGTGAAATAGCAAAGTTACAACTTAAAAAGTTTACGCATACCAATTCCATGAACAAGTTTCTGAAATGTCGTCTTCGGCAGTAATTTGGTGAAGAGGTCGATCATATTGTCTTGTGAACGGATTTGCGTGACTTCAATGTTCTGATGCTCTTGTTGTTGATGTCAAAAGAAAAATTTCAGCGCAATGTGGTTGGTGTTGTCTCATTTGATGTAACCCTTC